AGAAAAAAACATACTTCATGAACACATGTTTAAAACTTGCTAAATCCTGTAACTTTATCCACTGAAAGTCATTTTTTTTGCAAAGATCAATTCGATGTAAGTACTCATTGAATAATATTACAGTTTAAAAATACAATTTTCAAGGTTATGAATGTTTTTTAATAACCAAAAAATTTTGTTTCTTTTTATAGTTCGCCATAATTTTGTACCCTAATTGAGTGGATTATATAAATATAATATTTGTGATAGTATAGTAAATTGTAAATTAAAAGCTGTGATTGAAATTTTAAGTTCTTAAGAGCAAACATATATAAAGTCTTATATTAAACAAAACTGCTATATTATTAGTCATTATCTATGTTTATAATTTTTTTATGATAATATTTACTTTAAAATTTTAAAGTTTAACATAGATATGCAAAACTCATTATATAATAAAAAAAAATGTTATTTGTCATTAAAAATAATTTCATTAACATAGCATTTTTTTGTATTATTAATGATTGTTCCTACATATACTATAAACCATACAAATTATTCAAATTACACTACCCTCGCGAATCCAGACCCAGCTTTCCGGTTAATCCGGACAGTCTGTTCCCATCATATCCAGATTAGTGAGATTGTAATAAATTCTTACCTAATGGTTATAACAAGGCGTTCTTCTGGAAGAATCTTGTGTTTGTGCAAATTACACCAATTCTTCATCATTTGAGGTTCACATTTTTTTAAAATGTAGTAGAACGTTTCCACTTCCATCCTAAAATATTGGAAGAAACGTTTCCTATCATCTTTGAATTGGGGAAACAAATGGTGGTATTCCCCATATTCACTCCTTAATTTATTAATTTGGTGAACACCGATTCTCTCGCATTTTAATTTATAATGACAACTATCAGTAGCCATTAACAAGCACGCTAGATCTTCATTAGAAAATTCCATGTTTAAGTTTCTGGATCAACGAACATATAACAATGTACTCTATGACTCCGTACGCGTCGAATGAGAAAGAGAGACTGTTGAATGACTGTCGATTGCGACTTTGTACAGATTAAAAGTTTATGAAGTGGTTTTATTTTTATATATAAATGTAATAAAAAAAAATTTCCGTTTCGCCCAAAACAAAATTTCGCTTTAAAACCCCCCCAAATTTCGGGTAACTCCCCCCCAACCTGGCAATAGTGCTCGCGTCCGCGTCTTGTAATCTGCCTCCACTGTGGCCATCACCTGCTTTGCTCAAGCTGACATCTCACGAGCCTGCTTTCTGAATCTGAATCTGAGTGCACTCTGGCCGCACCCTAACGCTGTCGTAGATCGCGGGTGCGTTGTGCTGCGCCCTGCTGAGGTTGATTCACCATTCGTCTCAGACCAAATTCATTCAGCCATTCGTATGCCCTATGTCATATTGCTTGACGTCTAAATGCAGCAAAGTATTATGTTTTTGTGAGCACTGTTTACATGGACCGAAGAGACATTCACTCGGTTCGTGCCCCGATCGTAAACAGTTGCTGCACAATTTATTTTCGCTTACGAATTTTAATCTTTATTTGACAGCCAAGTTTAGAAAACCAAAACAAGTGTAAAGTGCGTGATTGTGATTACAAAATATGCAACTTCTAAATTGGAAGATTTGTTCTTTGTGCTATTACTGGAACCATAGCTTTGAATTTGTGAATTATTTTTATTCGAGTAAGATGATTTGGTGTTATAATTTTGTGAGGTATCTTTAGTTTTATTAAGTGAACTAGTGATCATTTCTAACATATCTGCGCGGTTCTTGAGAAATGATAGAATGTCTTCCAATTTTATTTTGAGAAAATTATCCCTTAAAGATAATGAACCTTTATATGTTTCCCATTCACGCTCTGTAATGGAATCTAATTTGGTTACAATTAAATATATAATTAACGTACCCTATGACTCGGTGGGTTCGTCTAACATTTTAAGTGCACGTAGGTTGCGTAAAATAGTGTCTATTCATTTACTAATGTGAGTAGTTGACTCTTGTCTGATAGGCATAACATTAAATAGGGCTTTTACGTGGTTATTAATTAAAAGTCTGGTATTGTGGAACCTGTTCTCTAATAGTTCCCACGCGTGAATATAGTTAGCTGCAGTAAATTCTAATGAGCTAATAACAAATTTTGCATTACCAATTAGTGACGAACGTAGGTAGTGGAATTTTTGTATGTTATTTAGATCAGATTGTTCGTGAATCATAGTAACGTACAATTTTTTGAATTCTAACCAATGATCGTATGACCCATCGAATAAAGGCAACTTGATTTCGGGCAATTTTACGTTTGTTCGTTTATAACTGCCAAACAGTTTGAATTTTGGGTGCTGTTAGGCTCGTTCATAGTGATAGAACTATCCATCAAGCAGTTAGCGTTAGCCATACAACCGAAATAAAGGGATTCATTCTACGGTTTCAACGTAAGTACTCATTGTCACCATCGATTTCACTATCTGCTGAATGGAGCTCAATGTCACTTTGGACAGAATTAAATTTTTGGAAAATGGCACCAGCCGCTTGAATACTTAACTTCATCTCAGCTAACTGAATCTTATTTAAATTAGCGCCTGAGAAGGAGTCAACATATTCCTTAAATGCCGTTAATTTACCCTTCAAAATTCCTCTTTGCTTTCTGAGACTAGTAATAACGTCTACAGCCTTTCTTTTAGATGGTGAAAGGGGAGGAATAGATAAATTTCCGTTAGCACTGTCGTTCATTTTGGCAATCAATAAGAACAGTAAAGGTACTTACGTGCAAATATAACTGTATTAGTACACAATTAATCCTAAACTCGCGAATAATAACGTTTAGATAAACACGATTTTAACACAATTTGAATAAGGATCAGGAAATTAGACAGGATGATCAACCAACCGTTACTGGAGATGATATCTTCAAAATCCTCGCTTTCGTCATGTCGCTGTCGTCTAATTCGGATCGAAGACCAAAATGTTTGGGACAGTCAGGTCTCCTATCTAATGATAACTCGTATACTTGATAAGACGTTTAATTACTTTTAAATTACAATAATTGAATGATAGAAAAAATTGTATGCGTATTGTGCGCCGTTGTGAATTCGAATGCGCGGGTCTTCTTCGCGGCTTCTTTCACCCGTTACGTTTCGAATTCCTTCTTGTGTAAATTGATGGAGACACAAGCGTCGACACTAAAATAGTAAATATAAAAGGCTACAATGTACTATACTCATCATCCTGATGGAACATCACATGGCGGAGCAGCCATTTTTATTTTTTATTTACAGGACATAAATACCATTAACTTCCTAACTTTAAACACCCGTTCTTATAAGCTGCTATTTTATACATAGATTATTGGGAAGGATCACGCACCGTTGCTGCTCTATATTGTCCTCGTCATGAAAATGGATGAGGAAAATTGAGGAAATGTTTACTTATTTTTTCAGTACACTTGGTCTCTAGCTGGAGGGGACTGGAACTTCAAAACACCTCACACACACCTCACAAACAACACCTCTTAGAGTTAAATGTAATGTAAATTTTAATAGAAAATATTCGCACCCTTCGCTATCCGTGCGTATATACTGGCCATTATTCTACCGCGGCCCAGACGGCCGTGTCGAATTTTCTAGCCTTTCTTAAGCTGCAGGGTAGCGGATCTCTTCGCGTTGTAGGTAACCCACAATGTCAAATGAATACCTTCTCCGTCTTCCTCGACGTCAGCAGGCTTTTGACCGCGTTTGGCATAGCGGTCTATTATGTAAATTAAAACTTAGTACACACGATGCTTATATGCTTCTGAGGTCTTACCTACAGGACCGCATGTTCCAGGTCAAATGCGGAGATGCAGTTGCAGACATTTGTGAAATAGATGCCGGGGTTCCTCAGGGTTCGGTTTTAGGCCCGATGTTATAGAGTACACAGTTTATACTGCTGACCTACCATTTTCTGACGAAATTATGAATTATTAATTATGCTGATAATACTGCGGTGCTCTCATATAATAAAAATCCTAACGTGGCATCCATCAAACTCCAAGCACATTTAAATAAAATTGGGGCGTGTGCTGCCAAATTGCTTCTCATGTAACATTAGGATTAAGACGAGGTAACTTCCCTGCGGTGAATCTTGATGGTGCCTTTTTGCCTCAGAACACAACAGTAAAATACCTTGGAATGCAACTAGATAGAAAACTCACTCGGAAAGATCAAATTAAAGCAAAAAGAGATCAGACAAACAAGAAGCTTAGCAGTATGTATTGGCTGGTTGGTAGATAGTACTCAGCTTGGAAAACAAGCTTCTCATTTATGAAAGCATAGTAAAACCAGTGGGATCAAAGAGAGCAAGTCATTCCAACATTGAAATTATTTAAAACAAACCATTGAAAATATTGTCCAGTGATCCATGTTATATAAAAAACCAAGAAGTACATGAATACGTAGATATTCCTACTGTGCAGGAATAGATAAATCCTGCAAGGACTACCGACAAATATTGGAAAAACACAAACACCATCTAGCGAATAAACTCCTCAATATTAATGACGTAATATCTCAATTAAAGAGGACAAAGCTAGCTTCTACATAAAGCTATATTCTTTATATGATGACATATCGGTGGGTGTGTTTGGTCTCTAATTTCTGTAAACATCTTCAAACAATATAATTGAGGCTACAGAGCGGATTGTCAATGGACTAATAAAAAAAAACATCATGGATCTGGTCAATGGATCTTCTAAGAGTGTGATCCATTTACCTTTGAGTAAAAAACTAAATCCATAATCTAGTGTTTCCACTTTTTTCATAAAAATCAGCCTATATAACTCATTCTGACGAATGTGTCCTAAATCTTTTTTAGATCTTTCCGTACAAGTGCGGTTTTTGAAACTTTTCTTGCTTGAAAACTAGAAACAGTGGAATACGTCGCTATAGCGAATATTCTCGATAACACTCGTCACACTGACATGAAATAACAACTCAGACCAATATAAATACCTATGTATTTACTTAATTTAAAAAAAAGTTAACATTATGAATTGCAATGATAATAAAACAAGCATTTTGTAGTCACTAACTAAAAACTATGGACGGATTTTTACCTATCACAAAAATTAAAGGTACGCAGTTCATAATTGGTTCATGCTATAGATGCAAAAAACAACGTCATATTCACGTTTCACTAATCTAAATAACTTCTTCTACACTTTGGTCTGGAGAATCAGTAGTTTCATTGTCGTCTTCAGACGATTTCTGTATAGACTTTAGTTGTTGGTCAAATCCTGAAAGACAAATGAATAGAGTAATTAAAACCACTTAGGTCAACTTGCACCAAAGTTCGTTATTCAAATTTAAAAGCTAATAATCATGTTTAATTAAGTCTTATTCTGGTTCTATTTAACTTTTCACAATTGAAAAATATGGAATGACACGATCGAGCCTTAATAAAGCCTGCGCTGGTTAAGCGGGTCACGGCGCGGGCGTCCGCTCCGCGTGCTTTTTTTATGTCATTTCATAAAAACCCACTGCACGGGAGAGAGACCCTCCTCACGCAATGCAGCTTTATGAAAATAATAACATGAAACAAACACGCGGAGCAGACGGCCGCTCCGTGCTCCTACTTAACGCAGGTACGCTCTTGACTTAAATTAAGAATTTTGTTGCAAGTGTTAAGTGTTTTTGCCATTTTCACGTCTAAGTTTCATTTAAGTAGGTAGCTGCTATCACTTTCTTTGCAGTAGTAATAGAATTAAACATTACGTCATCACTATTACCGACATTAATTGTAATTAAACTTCTCTAAGGGTGGTCGTATAGGCGTAAAATAAAGCCGGTGCTACATAGATACATGTGAGTTGTGACCTATAAATCTAATGCTGGCCCAGCGTTGCTGGGGTCACACTATCACGCTAACGCATATATTTGTGTTGTCGCGATGTCTAGTGCGAATGTTAGACAAATACGGTATTCCCGTCGCTCAATAGGGTATTTGACAGAATATTTTTTATCATCTGTATTTAGATTTTAGACTGAATATTGGAAGGGGTATTTACGATTTTTACAGAAAAAAAGTTCATATTTTTCCTAAAAACCCACGTAAAAGATAACAGTTGCCTTATCTATTCTCACGTGATTGAAAACGCCTGGGATTGGTGGAGCCTAAAATGACGTCACATGCTAGTAAACATCTAAGGTTAGTGACGTTACATTGTATCGTTTGACTGACAGTCGCGTGACGTCACATACTAGTGAGTGAGCCATATTGTCCATTGAAACGTAGTTGGCTTGTATTATACTCAATGACTTTCTTCATAATAATTATAAACGTTCCATTCCAAGTAAAAAATTCGTTGCGTAGTTTAGGACCCTTTGTACCGAATGCATCATTGCTCTGCTGTTCCGATTTAAAAAAAAAATGAATATAGCAACGTAAGCGTTATAAGGCTATTTTTTGGTATTTTTTACACACGTTACATTATCGGAGTTTTCATACGTAATCCTAACTTTTTTGAAAATACACTATAGCCTATATTAATCAGTGACAATGTAGCATTCAAATGGTGAAAGATTTTTTAAAATCGGTCCAGTACTTTTTCAGCCAATTCGTTACAAACTTATTATAAATCTTTCCTCTTTATAATATTTATATTTAATAACTCGTTTTAATGGTTTGGTGTAGTGACAAATTTGCTATGAATTCTCATATTAAACTAGTTGATAGTATGCTAACTATCAAGTATCAAGTGCGCCTTATTGTTGATCGAAGTGGAACGCGATAATGTGGCTGTAGCTAACAGCCACAACTGTAAGGCAGATACTAAAATTTTAAAGTGTTTACGTTGTGATTCTGGGTGATCTTGGGCGAATTGCAACATTAGCTTAAGGACTTTTTCTTCAGTGATTAGTCCAGGGCGGCCAGTCACAGCACGAAGTAACTGCTGTCCACTGGTTACACCTGTAAATAAATATTATATATTAAATTTATTTCTATCCTATCCAGCCCCCCCCCTCCCCTCCTAGTGGAGCGACCTTGTTGCGGTAGGGTTTGTGGGGAAGGACCACATAACTTACCGAAATCACCTTCCCTTTTGTTTCCTTCTCTTACTAAGGTTGGCAAAAAGGCGGTTCAGATAGTGGGGAACACAACCACCCGTGCGAAGGTAGTTAGAGGATGTCCTCAAGTCTTATCACTACTTCTCTGGAACATTGCAGTAGATAGTCTCCTAAGGAGTCAAAATCAACAGTGGTACTGAACCCGGTGTCTTCTCAAACGACCTGAATATAAGAATATCTACAACCTTTTTTTTCTGATCTCTTAATTATTGGTAATTTTAATAAGTATTCTGACAATAGAGAATTTTTACACAAATAAATGTGTCTTTCATTTATAAAAGGTTAAAACTACCCGAAATCGTCGATAATGTATCAGGACTGTAATGAGAGTAGATGAAGCGAAAGAAGTATGTAAGGATCGTAGCAAGTGGAAAGAAGTAATCTCTGCCTACCCCTGTGGGAGAAAGGCGTGACTTTAGGTATGTATTTATTTATAAAAACTATGTACCAACAGTTATCACAATGAACCTTACCTTTTTAAATATTGTTTTGAAATAATAATAATAATTCAATTATTCGGTAATCATTCGGCACATCAACCGAATATTCGGCCGAATACGAACTTTAAAAAATATGACGAATGTACCGAATATGAATATTCGGCGCATCTCTACTTTTTAGTGATTTTTATATTTTTGAGATGTTTTCTTTTTTATAAATAAACTAAGGATTCTCTCGGGCCACGGTTACCACAAGGCCTATCTGCACAAATATAAAATAACACCCGATGATTGTTGCCCATGTGATAACCACACTAAACAGGACATCACACACATCCTAAAAGACTGCCCTATATTTCACTCCACCAGATCTGAGTATGCAAATTACTGTGGACTATATAAAATCCAACCATACAATTTAATGGAAACAATAAAGAGTGAAACAGCCACTTGCAAATTTGTCAAGCATGTCGACACAATAATGTCACAACTTAAGCGCGTAAATGGTATATAACTGCCACATCGACCAAAAGCATAAACACATAGCGGCGGCTTTGGATCTGTATCCAATTGCAGAACCAAAATCGACCATACACACAATATAAATGAACAAAATATATATATTTGCTCCCTAATCATCATACAGTACAGTATAAATAACATTACACATAAAAAAAAACTAAGGATAACGGTGTTGATTGTACAATTAGTAAGTTTATATTTATTGTACAGTTGTTTGTTTTCCTAAATAAACTAAAAAAAAAACCTTCGAAATACTAAGCACAATCTTCCAGGCGGAGTGTATTGGCATTACCAGAGCGGCACCTCCACCTTGCAACCGCTTCTTGCAGCCAGAGACATCAGAGAGTTTAACATTAAGATCATCTCTGTCAGTGCATACGTGATTCAAGACCTACCTAGCAACACAATAAACTCTGTTCTGGTAATGGAGTGCCACAATGTACTTCAATCCATTGCGGTAACCAACACGGTAACTCTGCAATGGATAAAAGGACACAGCAACTCAATTGGAAACGAAGCAGCAGATGAACTGGCTAAGAGAGGAGCAGACACAAAAGTGTATGGTCCGGAACCTCTTCTGCCCATACCTCAGGTCCAAATTAAAACGTGGCTCCGTGATAGAACTCAGAAATTACACTAGACAAAGTAGAAAACAGGTGAAGGATGCCGGCAAACGACAAACGCGGTTCCGGCGGTAAATAAAAGACTTGCCCGCACCCTTACCAGATTAAATAGGGACAAACTTCGCAAGATTATTGGAACCCTGGTCATTTTCCCTTAAACAAACACCTATATAAGTATAATAGGAGTACCAGACAGCCCCCTATGCAGAGGATTTATGAGATAGGAGAAACGCCACAGCATGCCATCATGGAACGCAGGAGCGTGGCCGACCAACGGACGCGACTTCTCCAGTCACCAGCATCGCTTCCGGAAGCTGGCAGCAGTCTGCCAAGGCTGCTTTCTTTCTGGACTAACATAGGCTGGCTGGAGTAAACGGTAATGTTTCGAGACACGCACCATGGTCCAATGATTAGGAAGAACTAAGTGCAGAAACCCTGAACAACTAACTAAGTACTAGAGGTCGACCTAGACGACACATTGAAACCCGGCGTACATACTACTCGCGCCGCGGAGGTCGAAAAACTATAAATTATGTTGACATTATTTTGGCTGTCGATACTTGGTCTTGTCTTAGAATCATGCATTGATGAGAGATATACACACGGAGGAAAAACAAAGAGGAGCTGGCCTAAGCAACTGTGCACTGTGATTTTCAACTAGGTCCTGACGTCATCATTGTGGGCGGGGCCTAAGTCAGTATGCTTTCAGCGTTCGTCAGGTGCACACTTAACGAGACTCGCATTATAAGTGTTTTTTTGCGTTTTTAACAAGAAAAGGATGAAGTTTTGTGTTTTACTATGTCAAAGTTACTCAGACAGACGTTCTGATAATATGGATGGCATTACATTTCATTTGTAAGTAATTTTATACGTAATTAAATATATAAGTTCTAGAACATTCTCAGCCTCAGCTTTCAGCGTTAAAATTCTACTACTTGACACCAGATGGCGACACTTTTAGGAAGAAAATACACAAGTTTACGTATAATTTTGCAGTATTATATTGTAATAATCATACGTAAATACTGAAAACTGTTATACACTTATTCCTAAATAACTTTTAGTATCTAAAACAGTAATTTTATCAATATATTACTAACTGGCCGCCATCTGTCGTCATATAGAATAACTTTTTAAACGTTACAAATATCCAGGGCCGTAATATGTATTAAATTATTTACCAAGTAAATAAATTTTAATTATTTTTATGTTCGTTTTAGATTTCCATCCAACGATAATTTAAAACAGCAATGGATTTCAAAACTTAATAGACCGGATTGGACACCATAGAAGAAGAAGATATTTCCATTTTAAATGAATCTTCTGTGCAAAAAATTAATATTACATCAGAACGTTATCGCATTTTAAATAAAATGAGTTTCGAGTCTTCGGATAGCACGGATGTCGAGCCTATGCCTGACGATATGTTATTGGAATTTGATGAACAATTAAATACAACTATAGGTGACTATTTGCGCCGTCAAATAGTAGCATATATTTCTGGGTATGTGGTCAAATATTTACATTCCAAGATCAAATGTGAGAGCTGTCTCAAAGAATTATATGCTGATAACTACGACGATAGTGACCTTGATTTGATAAAAACTTAAAATAAGGGTGGTCTTACTTTCCCATCTAGAGATGTCATAAAAATATGTATACGGACCGAAGGCAGTATTCGTTGTGTTAAATCGCAATCTTTGAATACTCCTAACTTTCGTAAACATAAAATTGTATCGAATACATTAAAATCACTTATTGGACAAGATTGTTTCAAAAAATCGGCCAACCATATGTTTGACCAATCACCTACAGTTAATCATGTTGTATTTCTGATGAAATCGATTGCAGAAAAATATATTGATATTCGTTTTAAGCATTTTGCCACAATACAAAACGATACGGCAACCAACCGACAACAACTAACCAAAACTATTATTTACAGGTAATTGATGTTTTTTAATAAAATTATGTTTGTAATAACATTTTGTCTATTATTTTTAAACTACCTTAAATTTTAAATCTAAAGAAAATATAACTAGAAAAATATCCACGCGGACCAGGCAGCAGACGGGAGCGGGTGCGGGTTCGAGTCCCGTCTGCTGCCTGGTCTGCCTGGATTTTTTTTCATCAAGCAGTTACATGTTTTAAAATAATAAAAATTATACCTTAAAAATTTTAAAATCGGTCAAATTTGTTAACGTTTATTTTATTTATTTACCTACATATTTCATTTTTTTGAAGCTTCAAGTTCTGAGTACGTCCCATTATATACAAAACTTTTGAACATCTAGTGTTAGATAGCTGAACTACTACGTAGTAACATAAATATCAACCTAAGCTAGTTTTGCTATTAGCCGATAGATGAAATATTGAGAAGTGGGCGGAGCTGAACACCCCGCATCCCGCAAATTATCACGCGTCGTTTCTTGAGAAAATTTAATCACCACACCTCCTCTTTGTTTTTCCTCCGTGGATATACATGGCTTTACCTGTGTTAATTTCACCCGCTTCGAAAGTCTTTTTAACATCTATAAATCGCTTGACTAGTGTGCTTTGTTCCTGGAGCGCCATTATTTGTGCACCTGTAGATAGTATGCCGAAAGTTAAAGTTAATTATAAAGGAAAGTATATGAAAAAAGCATCGCTTTTTTATAGATCACTTGACATTTACCTGATTCAGAATCTGAGGATTTGGAAAGGCACCGTGACGCTTCTTTTAGGGCCTCCAAAGCTTTTTCGTAATTCTGAAATAATCAAATATTATTAATTGAATATACTTTTGTTTTCTTAAATGCATAACAAATAAAACAATTTTTTAATTTGTTAAAATAGTGGTGGACTAAGCCCGCGGGCTGGGTTGTGCGATAAGTGGGGCCGAGTTGCCCACAACAAAAATGTTCAACTGAACCCGCGGGCTAAGCGGTATGTGGCTTTAGTTGACCATGAAGGGAGGGAAATTAGCATTCTTTTTTATACATATAGATAGTTAAATAAAATCATAGTAACTTACATCATATTCATCGACTTCTACTTTAGCGCATTCAGCATAAAAGGCCGCCAGTTTCCCATACGCTTTGGCGCGAGTGTAGAAGTGCAATATGTGCCTGGTGAGATCGGGCCGCGTGCGCCACTCCGCGTGTCTGCGCAAATAGTCTGCCGCCATCAGTTGAGCGTTTCTATCGCGAGTAGCCGCCGCGAAGGTGGCGATGCGATCTGCGTCGCCGGATCGCATTAACCATCGCATAGCACCCGCCTGTACAAATCACACAAAAAATATTAAATAACACGAAGTTTACTTAACAAACGATACAAAATGACAAGTTCTCAATCATTGACTCATAAATGTTCTCTTTATATCTAGAAAGCTGTAATTTGCACAGAGGAAACAAGAAATGAGAAAGAGTCGTTAGTAGGACCCTAAAGAATGTCAATTTGTCAATGACGTCACGGGACGATATCTATAGACGATAGACGATATAATTAAAATACGTCAATATGAAGTGAATGCCTTTATTGCACTGTCTTAAAATGTTAAACACGGCCGTAGTATTTTCAATTTTGAGTGCATCGACTCGGACTGCAAACTTAATAAAATATAATTAAAATGGCTTGTACACTTTTTAAAATTCAACTCTTACAATACTATTGCTTCGCCATACTTGAAGTTGTATGGCGAAGCAATAGTAATAAATATTTTAGTAACTTTGTATGTACCTATAGCATTTACTATTACAAAAATAAGGAAACACGTATTTTGTGATTCACTTATAATGTTTTGATTACCTTATCCCCCGCATGCGCAAGTCTCTTTGCAGCTTGGTGGTACAGACCGCGGCCTCCAAGCACGTCAGCCAGGCGACGCAGAAGCGCGTCGCGTCCGCTCGTTCCAGCCGGTGCTGCTAATCTTTCGCTTAACTCTTCGGAGAGCTGCGCTGATGATTTCTCTACGATGTCGAGAGCTTCTTCGTACTGCATATTAAACCAGTGTTGAGTATATTTACAGGATTTACATATTATATGTGTGTCATCATCATCAGCCTATTAATGTCCCCACTGCTGGGGTACAGGCATTTCCTATGGATGGAATAGGCAGATGTGTGTGTGTTCTTATATGTGTGTGTGTGTATGGTTAAATAATAATAATGCTTTATTTCTTCTCCTCACAATCCCATGCACAAAAAATACAAACTTAATGAATTAATTAATGACTTAATGACAAGATTGTGGAGAGATTCGTATCTGAACTAGGCCGCAGCCTGTATCTCAGAAGACCAGTACTCTCCCCTCTTTACAGTGGTACATAATAACAAAATTACATGTTCTGAAAAAATAAAATAACTGTATCTTAACAATGTTGAACAGAACTATAACATCCGAATGTTTTTAAAGATATGCATGAGCTATCGAATCCTTGCAGCGGTTAAATCTATGTGAGGCTGAAAAGTTAGTCGATCGACCATAACTCCAAGACCTGAAGAAGGGATCCTGATCTTAGACATAGGCATATATTTCAGTTTTTCGATGTTAAGTGACAGGAGGTTTGCTCTAAGCCAATCAAAGACTGTATCCAAACCATACTGAGCACGTCTATAAACTTCTGGGAAGGAATCCGCGGAAAAACTCAAGGCAGTGTCATCTGCGTAGGAAATAATTTTACAATGGGGAATTACGAGAGATGACAGCTCATTAATATAGACTAAGAACATAGTTGGACCCAGTATACTGCCCTGTGGCACGCCATACTCAACGTGCAAATCCGAGCTCACAACTCCATTTATCACGAGACACTGCGTGCGATCAGTAAGAAAGCTGTGAAACAATGTCAACTGTTTTTCCCTCACTCCAAGGCGCTGAAGTTTGTGTAATAGAATTGGAATTGAGACCGTGTCAAACGCCTTGGCAAGATCAAGGAAAACAGACAAACACTTACCTCCCTTGTCAAGAGTTCTAACTGTATAGTCCGTGGGGTCATGGACAGCATCAGCGGCCGATTTTTTAGCCCTAAAACCATATTGTTCTGACGATAACAGAGCAGAATTTTCAAGATGGTGCATTAGGCGCTTATTTAAGAGCCGCTCCAAGATTTTAGACATTGCTGGGAGAATTGATACAGGACGATAGTTATTAGGGCAGTTTTTAGGGCCAGACTTGTAGATTGGATGAACAAGGGCTTTTTTGAATTACAGTAGGAAAGATGCCAGTTCCGATAGATTAGTTACATATGTGAGTTATCGTCGGAACAAGGGTATTCTTGAAACGCTTAATAAACGAAGATGAGATATCATCCCACCCAACCGCACATTCGCTTTTTAGTGAATTGATGATACAATCGACCTCATGAGTGGTGGTTTCAAGAAGGACAAATGACTTAATCGGTGAGCAAGGGAGAGCAGCCGATCCCTGATTTTGTAAAACGTTGGGAGAGTTAATCACAATCTTTTCAGCAAGAGATTTACCCACGCTAGCAAAGAAAGCGTTTGCGTGATTAACTGATTGGTCTGGTGAGGATTTAGTTAGTAATAAGTCATCTGCATTACTACGGTTTTTGTTCATGTTAGCAACATCTCGAATCGCATCCCAGAGCTTCTTATTGTTCTTACCAGCCAAACGCATCACCTCTCTATCATAATCCAATTTAACTTTTTTGATGAGAGAATTACAAAAGTTACGATATCGACGAAACGTGAATTTAAGAATCCAATTTTACTTTTTTTTTGAGAAAATTACAAAAGTTACGATATCGATCACGATCACGATATATATTTGATCACGATTCCTGATAGATCTTAGTAAGTCCTGCGTTATCCAAGGGTTTAAAGTTTTTTTACGCCGTGAGGGAACAAAACTTGTGGTGTGTGAAGATATGGCGGATCGAGGCAATTTAATTAATATATTAGTAGCAACATTAGAGTCAGAAGAACTTAGTACTAAAGAGAAATCCATATTTTAATGGCTGTAGCTAGTGAATCAAAATTGAGCTTTTTAATGATTTTGAGTATCGATTTAGCTCTCTTCATATTTATTGAAGTAAGCACTGCGTCATGATCAGTTACCAAAGAGTCGATTACAAAAGTTTGTGCCTTAAGTAGTGTTTTCAAAAATACATGATCGAGACATGTTCGTGCCCGAGTATGAGCGGGTAAGAGGCCATTATAAGCCATAATGTTTAAATAATATTCCTTATGCTCATCCAGGCTCTTATCATCAGTACTCAGTATATTAAGATTAATACCGCCCGTCACTAATATATTACTATACTTACGCAGCGAAACAAGGATGCTGTGCAAGGACTGAATAAAACTATTTGGCTTTTTAAAAACACAGGGTCGGTAAATGGCTAGGATAACTGCCCTTACTAATTGCAATTTGTAAACAACTAGCTTCCGAGATAGTAGGTTCAGTGACTGAGACCCTGGCTAGAGAAGTGCTACAATAGATGACAACGCCATCATTTTAGTTGATAGGACTGGATGAAGTAAAAGAGTAAAAGCCACTAATGTTGGGAATGGGAGGGGCACTCTGTAGCCAACACTCTGTTAAAATAATAACGTCTACGTCAATTTTCAAACCACTTAAAAATAGATTAAAACTATTTATATTTGCGGATATACCTCGTATATTTTGTGTGATAATTTTTAGTGAAGGACATATTTTAATCTATATACTTACTAATATTATAAAGCTGCAGAGTTTGTTTGTTTGAACGCGCTAATCTCTGGAACTACTGGTCCGATTTGAATGATTCTTTCAGTGTTGGGTAGTCCATTTATCGAGGAAGGCTATAGGCTATAGGCAAAATTAGGGATCCGTAATAGAATTGCTATTTTGTAACACAAGGTGTAAAATCGAAAACCTATTTTTGCGTGCGCTTCAAAAACTATTGACAATAGAACAAAATGATGTACTACGGGTTTGTAGATCCCATTAAGACCAACAAAAAAGTCTGCGAGAACATATATCTAGCTATCATGGTTAATTCACAATAACCGATTTTGTGTTCAAAATAATTATTAAATCGTCTGAAGAAAAAAAACTACGTTAAATATGTATCGTAATATTAATCTTTATCGAAATTAAGCATTATGTTATCAAGAGTATTTATGAAGAAGTAAAATACTTTTTGTTTCATCTCAATCTGATATTTCGTTTAAAAGTTATCACGTGTGTAGGGCCATCTTTTTCGAAATATATTTGTTGATGATTGTAAACGCGGGTGAAACCGCGGGGCACGGCTAGTTAAGCTATAAACTTGAAGGGTATCACAGCTGACGGATTCACTCACTGATATACTATCTATATTTTTTATTATAATATTAGAGTTGCAGGCCATTTTTGTATTTAAAAACGGTGACTACTATAATTTGAGTTGCAAAGGAAAAATATACAAATACTCGTAGGTGAAGGTAATCCCTCCATACTTCGATCAACAACTGATCGAAGATTATAAATTATCCTGCTGCCCATCGAATACAAAAGTAGCATATATGATACTAATACACGCTTAATATTAGCCAAAAGGTTTGCATTTCTATATTTTTTTGCCCGGTTTGTAAAATACCTACTTAATTGTTGTAATATCGTTCAATAAAATAATAATTTGATAACAATGGATCTCCTCTGTGTGAATGTGATATGAATTATATGAGTATTTGGCAGTTTGTGTATAAAAGAGTACAGTGTAAAAGTATAAGTTTATTATACATAGAATTTAAAGAGGATATTCTATACTAATCAACACTACATTCATGTCTGTGATAATTAAATTTCAAAAACTATTTTGAATAAAAACATAAGAATAAAGGAAAAATAATTTACCTATGCGTTCTAAAATCATATTACGGCAATAAATACCTAAATAAAAAGCTGGTTCTTTTATATAATAATAAAACAAAACGTAAAAAAATATAATCAAAACCTAATATAAGTAAACATTTTTTCATACTGGAGCAGTTAGTACCAAGTCCGCTTCTAGATTCGGTTCTCAGTCGTAACGCGGCAGCGGTGGCGATGACTGCGCCGACGGCGCGGGCACCGGTGAGGGATTTGGTGGTGGGGTACGGCGCAGTGGCATGGTGCGTTTCGATTCGTACGGCCAAGTAGTTAGTTACCAGGCGCTTATAATCAGTTGGAGCCGCTTGGAAATCGTACTGGTTAGGTGAGTGCGCCAAGGGCAAATATGAATGAATAAATGGTCTGTGCGCGCTGCTCACCAGTAGTAGTACGTCGCGTTCGAACCTCCTTATGGATTCTGCTGCCCGATTATTTTCATTGTATTTATTTATAACTTTTAGAATAATTTTATTTATTATTATTTTTTAATATAATTGACTTGTAAACACAACTGCACTCCACAGTGGTCCGGAGGGGAGAAGACTGTGTAAATATATCGACTTAGTTATATCGTATATGTACATATAACGAAGCCATCGACAAGCGGGGTGTGCCCCGCTTCGTTGGTTTTCAGCCTTGATATCGCCAAGGCCTTCGACAAAGTTTGTAACAAAAGCCTTCTTACTAAGCTTCCGGCATACCGTCAGCCTCACGCAAACTCGGAGTCCTGAAGGAGAATTTAACGCCTGAGCAACTGTTCTTGTTGTACAAGGCGCGAACAAAGCTTGGTGACTCATTTCTTTGTCGAACTATCTGCAATAGGAATGCTTTGCCCGCTCGCATGTTCCCTCTCTCCTATAACCTATTCTGTGAGTTTGGCTCGAGCCGATTTGTAACGTGATGGGCATTCCTGAGAAGCAATCCGTGATGTTATAACAAACCGGTAAGTACCTACCTAGATAGTAGTCAATCTTAATACTTTGTTGTACCTATTGTAAGAAGTTCCATTATTGTGTGTTAGTTCCAAATTTATTTGGTACAGCTTTTGCTACTTACCTTTCCAGCAGTCGCAAGCAATGCTGCCGCATGCGAATGATGGTTTGCTTTCTGAAGATGCGTTGCCAGGGCATGTGCCAATTCAGGGTCCACGCGATCTCCAAGAGATTCCACAGCAGCCACCATCGCATTGGTATCGCCACAGATTAGTGCCAACTTTAGTGCTAAGTGTGGTTTCCCTGTAGTTAAATATTGTAACGCACTATACTATACAACAAGCATAAATCTAAAGAAAGGGCAGTCATAAAGACTATGAAAATTATAGGCCAATCACGATCCTCCCCACAATTGATAAAATTGTTGAAAAATATATTGGTAACCAAATACATAGGTTTTTTAATAAAAATAATATCATTTCACAAAAACAGTATGGCTTTCAACCCGGTAAAAATACTACACAACTACTTTCTGACTTTACGGATTCTGTTAATAAACATATAGATAGCAAACGACCCGTTATCACTGTAATAATAGGCTAGTTGACCCTTTTTGGAAAAAGGTTTTAAAGGTTAATAAATGTTCTATTAGACCGAAAAAAAATGTATTGTAATTTTTTTAAGCCTAGAAAGCTACAAATCTTTAATTTTAAAATAGACTTTTCATGGACATACAAAAACGCTGTCGGCCATTTTAGTCTATAGATTATCTATGCTATGATGTGAACAGTGGTAAACAAAAACTCGTAAACACGTAGAAAATTACTTTTAACTGAGTTTATAATAAAAAAAAAACATGATTTCTAATAAATACCACGAAGAATAAAGTAATTATCATTACTGTATTGTACGAGAATATAAAAACACATCCTTGAAGACTCCAGGAAAGTTGTGGATTAAAGTGCCGAAAGAAATTAACCTACGCAACTTTATTACACTTATTCATATGTTGTATCAGTTTTATGTTTATTACTACATTGTAATACTAAATACACTGTACTTACATAGATGCCTTGTCGTTTCTCTGCTCCGCAGAGCAGAAATCGGGGTTTAGTGCAACAAATTCACCAACCATCAATGCGTCAATTCTTGGCAGATTTGTGCTTTCTGCTTTCACAAAGCCGGCATCCATAATTAGTTTTGTCAAAAAAAACTAAGTTTACTGTTTTTTTTCTTTCCTAAAGTTAAGAGACGTCAAAATCATGGCGGATGTGGCGAACAGCGTTTTTAGTGTTTAAAAAATATAGACTAAAAAATATTTTTTAAAATTAAATTTCTATAGCAATCTTCTGTTTTGATTAAGTGAAATCGATATATTAAGGTTCCTTAGACTAAATACTTTAAGAAATAAACATTTATTTAATACATTTCGACATGAGTAAACTAGCCTATTGATTACTCCAAAGCGTTTGACACACTCCTTTATGATATACTCGTTGATAGTTTGCAGGAAAGTAGGATACATGGTTCCTTATTGGAATAGTGTAAAAACTATCTACAAAACCGAACATACTCTGTGAAGGTGGATGATGGTATAAGTAATAAGTTTCAATTGGCGGAAGGGATAGCACAAGGATCAGTAGTGGGACCCTTACTATCACTATATTACTTATTTAATCATTCTCCTGCGAGAAAATATTTTTTTTACAACTATTCAGCTTTAATAGTTTAGTTGTAAAAAAATATTTTGTCTTAGGAGAATGATTTCTTATTGTTTAAAAAGCTGTATCTCTTTTGCTACACATGCGAACTTGCTGAAATTTGCTCCAGAACTTCTTTTTAGGGCGAAGAAATAGTTGGTGTTATTTCAGCCAATATTTTATAAAAGTAGTGCGTATGTTGGAAAATAGTCAACATTGAGCGGCAAGATAATTAAATTACGCTTGTACATGCAGGTAACAAAAGCCGCACGCACTCATACCTATTGGGTACGTTTTTTCATGCTAGCATAACAGTCGAAACGCAGTTATCCTACATACAGAATTATAATGAAAAATATGACTTTTTTTATTATTTTCATTTTATGTTAGTTGTTACGGTTATTTTAAATTTATTGATAAAGTGACTTTTTAATGTGCGTTATATGTTTTCTTAATTTAGTATGTTTTTTATTTCAAATGCTAACTTATTTACTAAATTTGGAACAATGAATAGTAATGTTCGTTGATCATATAGGTTATTTGATTTTGGAATTAGTAATTTATAATTTGCAACGCCTCGAGTTTACTTACTATGGAGAAGTAACCTTTTTAATATCATTATTTAAGAATTGTTCTATTAAGATGTTATATTTAAATTTCTCCTGAACTGGGATCAATGCGCAGTAAGAGAACAATACGTGAAAATTGTTTTTATTTAAAAAAAAAAGTTTTTACATTTCTACTTCATTGTACGAGGGACATTGGTTTTTAAAATGCGCATCTGGAGTTAGTGGGTGCGATGTAAATGTGATTTAGCAGTACGTTCATAACTACTCAGCCCATAAGAAATTATCGATTCTCCTAGTGATTTATATTAGTATAACAATACAGGATAAGGAGTTTTATGTTTGAGTATCGAAAACTTTGCAAGAAGTACTCGTAATTTATCATACACGTGTTGAATATAATCGGCCCATGTCAACCGATCGTCAATGATTAGCACGAGGTAAGTTTGTTTTTTTACAACTTTCAGGGCACCGCAGCAGCAATTAGCGTGGTATTTATTAGTATGCAAATAATTATGACTACGTGATACGTGATACTATAGGAGTTTATTTTCTATTTTGACTAGTGCTAATATACATTACTTTCGTTTTACTGTCATTTAATACGAGTCAATTATTATGAGACCATTTACAAAGTAGTGCAAAATCAGATTGTAACTTTTTAAGCGCTATGTTAACATCAGGGTCAGCAGCAAATAAACAGGTATCGTCAGCAAATTATGAAACTGAAACTAGCAGCCACCAGCTAGAGTATCTTAGAGTATCTTTGCTGAAGTTACACCTTCTATTTCTTCACCCTAAACAGAAGTTTCGGGACAATTTCAGCAAGTTCGTATGTGTAGGAGTTGAGATACAGCTTTTTAAACAATAAAAAATAAGTCTCCTGAGAGAAAATATTTTTTTACAACTAAACTATAGAGAATCTCGGCTGAAATTACACCCACTATATCTTCGCCCTAAAAAGAAGTAATGGAGCTAATTCCAGCAAGTTCGAATGTGTAGAAAAAGAGATACAGCTTTTTATGGAATAAAAAATCATTCTCCAGAGACAAAATTTACAACTAAACTATTAGAGTATCTTGGCTGAAATTACACTTACTATTTCTTCGCCCTAAACAGAAGTTCTGTAGCAAATTTCAGCAAGTTCGTATGTGTAGGAGATGAGATACAGCTTTTTAAACAATAAGAAATCATTCTCTTGAGACAAAATATCTTTTTACAACTATTAGAGTAAATTTAATGATATTTACTAATGTGTTAAACTTCTATTATTGTAACTAGATGTAGAGTGATGATTATAGTGCACGAATAAACCTTTTTGGTTTTTAAGATTTTATTTATTTTTTAAGCATTTAACTGCTAGAAGTTTAAATCTAAAGAAAAGTTTACTAGAAAAAAATCCACGCAGACCAGGCAGCGGATGGGACTCGAACCCGCATTCTTCGCTATCCGGGCGAATGCACTGACCATTATGCTACCACGGCCCTATTAGCCGCGTCGAAATTTTCCTAGCCTTAATCTGCAAGGCAGCGCCATTTCTTCGCATTGTAGGTAACCCACAATGTCAAATAAATACTTTTTCAAGTATTAAACATTTGAAAGAAGAAATAGCAATTATCGTTATGATTTTATTTATTTTTTAAGCATTTAACTGCTAGATGTTTAAACCTAAAGAAAAGTTTACTAGAAAAAAAAATCCACGCGGACTAGGCAGAGGACGGGACTCGAACCCGCATCCTTCGCTATCCGGGCGAATGCACTGACCATTATGCTACCACGTCCCTATTAGCCGCGTCGAAATTTTCCTAGCCTTAAGCTGCAAGGCAGCGCCATTTCTACGCATTGTAGGTAACCCACAGTGTCAAATAAATACTTTTTCAAGTATTAAACATTTGACATTTAAGCCTTGCAGCTTAAGGCTAGGAAAATTTCGACGCGGCTAATAGGGCCGTGGTAGCATAATGGTCAGTGCATTCGCCCGGATAGCGAAGGATGCGGGTTCGAGTCCCGTCCGCGTGGATTTTTTTCTAGTAAACTTTTCTTTAGATTTAAACATCTAGCAGTTAAATGCTTAAAAAATAAATAAAATCATAACTATAATTGCTATTTCTTCTTTCAAATGGCGCTGCCTTGCAGCTTAAGGCTAGGAAAATGTCGACGCGGCTAATAGGCCCGTGGTAGCATAATGGTCAGTGCATTCGCCCGGATAGCGAAGGCTGCGGGTTCGAGTCCCATCCGCTGCCTGGTCCGCGTGGATTTTTTTCTTTTTGGTTTTTGTTTGTACTATATGTATTAAAAAAAACTAACAATGTGTGTATTCATTAGTGTACGGTTGAGTAAATCTATACCTACCCGCTTTTTGATACAACGCTATGGCTTGTTCATTTTGGCCGGCATTCTCTAAAATTGCAGCAGCGTGCAAAGCGTGTGCAGCTGATGATGAACCAGCACGCCGCACAAGGTTCCAGGCGCTTGCTTCTGCTGCTACACGGATTGCAGAAGATACAGCGCCACATTTTATGTACATCTAAAAAGACACCACATAATAGACTACATAATCTATATTATTCCAAAGGCGGATTATGTCAGTTCATTAAACTTTAATATTTTTACCTTTACTGATTGTTCGGTTTTATCAGATTGCATTTCCAAATATCGCGCCATTTGATAAATAGCCGAAGAATTTTTTTGACATAACTTTTCAGCCTCGTCTATTCTATCCATATGACACAAAAGTCTAGTTTGTTCGCCAAAATCCCGTGCACGAGCATAAGCTTCCAGAGCTCCTTCTAAATCGCCAATACTTTCTAAGTAATGACCCCACCATGTTATTAAATCTGGATCGTTGGAGTTACTAACATACTGAGCTAGGACAGCAGCTTGACCTTGTGCAATGAGCATTCTAGGAACATGAGGGACAAGTGTTCCAGCACTTTCAAACAGTTTTAATGATGCTCCAGTTTCGCCGTTTGCCCACAGTACCTTTGCCAATTTGTGTTGAGCGCTTTTAATTAACAATACGTTTTCACCATCAGTAGGACCACTACTGATTTCTTGAAGGCCACCTTCTTTAGCAGATATGAGACGTGTAATAAGATCGGTTCTCTGAGCTTCGCGAAACAAGCTTTCTGCTTTTTCTATCATACCAAGATTAACAGCAAGTACGCCTACTTTGCAAGCATCATCTATATCATTATCATTCATTATCTTACGCATCATAAGTGCACCTTTGATATTCCCCATTTTCCCTAAACATACAGCACCAACCTCTGGCCGCTTTCGGTAAACACATACTTTTGCTAGACTGTCCCATATAATTGACGTTTTACCACCTGATATATTTGTTCCTACTATAACAGCTTTCTCTAAGTTACCAGTAGTCATGAAATAAAGAAAATCTAATATTTGGCGTATACTGGCAGAGTCATGATCACTGACATCAGTAAATTCCTGCATTAATATTTTTTTGAGATTCTGTTGAGCTAAGATTACGACATTAGGAGTGAATAATGAGCAGAGCATAAAATCAGTTAGAAAATAATCTTCATTTATGGCAGACCAATTATTATACTCAAACAGTTCACCCTCGTGACAAAAAAATAAATGAATGTGATCTAAGTCGGCCGATCTCATATGCACCGATAGTATGCGAGGGTCGTTATAATCCCAAAGAATAGCTATAGGCACACTTTGGTAGGGGGGAGTTGCAGTTTCGTCTAAGTACTTGTTTGAAATAACGTCATTAGCTACGTCCCAGAGGTATAACCTGGGATCTGGTGCTAATCCAGCATTGGCTACACTTAAGCAAATGTAACGTCCACTACAATTAACGGACGCTCTCATAACTTCCCCAAAATCCTCAATCATCTGGTAGCAGTTTTTTGGAGGGAAAGGCTGTCTCAGACCTTTTTTTGTTATTTCTACCAATTTCAGTGTGCCATCCATTGTAGCAACTACGATGAATTTATTTGTATTTGTGACTCCTATTGGTTCACCTTCTCCTTCAGTGCTTGGTAAGATCCCTAAGTTATTGCCTGTGATGGTATAACATTCAATATGAGGATTCACAATACCTACAAGTATATCATTATGTATTATAAGAACTTCTGTTTTCCAAGGGAAACTACGGATAAGGGTGAATTTAACATCATTGTCTTTATTGCTCATCCAGATCTGAAATTTAATAATATAGTGGACAGACTCAATTAAACAATGCTACAGACTAATCATAACTATAGAAGGCTAAACTACTCACTTGTACTTCTTTCCCATCTCCTAATGCAACATAATTATCCTTATAAGCCAATGCTCTTACTGTGATTGTAGTATTTATGATTGATGTCAAATTATTTTTATTGGAGACAGCTATTTCGACAGCGGACTTCTGTATCATCCAAACTTTTGGGGAGTAACCCCAGCACACGGGTTGTTCACGGAGGATGTAGGCACTTGTTATACAATTGACATGTAGTAATGGGTTCATCAAACCTTCTGACCCCCAACTAACTTCCTTGACTGTTCCCTTAACGGCAGTACTACTTATTAGTTTCCAGTTATTTCTGTGATCTCTACGCCAAAGGTAAAGGTTACCTTGAGCAGTTCCACAACAAAGAGTATCACTTAAGTTACAGTAACTGATACTTGTAAAGATATCTCCTTGAGCAATAACTTCCTTTTCATTAGGAAGGACATCATTTTCGCCTGTTTCACTATCCCAAATTCTTAATAAGTTGTCGCCAGTTATAACAGCTACAGTAAAATTACTCGCCAGAACTATGCTTTGACCATTTCTAGCAGCCATTCTCACATGTGTATCGGTAGTCAAAGAACCATCATCAGCAGTCATAAATCTTGTTAAACTTAAGGCTCCTCCAGATTCCCAAGCAACTAATAAATAAATATTACTAATTATTCCCATAAATACTATATTTCCAGGAGCATTAAGAACTTCAGAGCAGGCTCCCGCGTGATCAATGTAGAGAATAATCCCATTATCTTGTGCAGCGTAACAACAATGATTATCTGGTTGAGCACCATCTCTCATTCTTGCTGTTGTTCTAGGACGCCATGCAGCTAAAGCGTCCAAAGCATTCTCATCCCCAGCTACAGCAGCACGTGCCAGCCCACGAATTGACGATTCACTGCTTGGATGTGGAGAGCAGTATGTGACATGAGTAATTACATCTCCTAGCTGATGATGAAATGAAGTTAGTGGCGCACCAGAGCTTGATTGCCATCCGGACAAAGAACCAGCAGCATCCGATGCTAACAACCTGCCTCCTCCCGGACTAAAAGCAATAGTTGTCAGTGCTGCATTATGAGGAGCTTCTAAACGGGCCCATGAATATTCCAACCATATATATAGCTCGCCGCCATCCCATCCAACAACCAGTAATTTTCTCGTAGGATGCCAAGCTAGAGCCGTTACTTGGTTTGATAACAAAATAGGCCATTCACAGCCTTCTAAAGAAAGACCCTGTAAAGACATGAATATATAAAATAAAAAAATGGCTAAATGCGAGTAAGACTTACACACGATGCTATCCGTACAATTCATCATTTTAGTTTAATAGGTAAAATTTGCCAAACTCTCTGGTATGACACCAGTTTTCAAGAAGTCGCCTACTCAGAGGTCCTGGGTCCGAATTCCGGTGGGACAAATGTTTGTTGATGAATACGAGCAATTTGTATAATCTAACTGGTGTGAGGGTTAAAATGTCTCCACTGCTGGGGCGTTCTTTATGGGCATATAAAAGTAATCTACGAATCTCGTATAGGTACATCGCTAAAACGATGAACATTTTAAGTTCAGATATTCAACTAGTATGCGCTCGCGACTTCGCTTGCGCAAAATAATTGGTTCCCACAAATTGAGTTCCTATTTTTCACCCACTTCAAATTTCCGGTTCATCTCGGTACAAGGTCTCCCGCCGTAGATTTGCAAACCGATGGTGTAGCTCAGTGGTTCTCAAACTTTTTAAATGACGGAACCCTTTTGGGAAGCAAAATACTTGATGGAACCCTACAATAAAACAATTATTTTTATAAGTGTATTCTATATTAATCAGCATAATAAAAGTACAATGTATCCGTTACTAATTATTATTTACTTCACCACTTGGTAAGGACAATAATAGAAAACATTAAAAAAGAAAAAATCTAACTAGTGGGAGGTATGAAACTGTTTTTTATTTTTCATCAATTGCTTGATATCAGGTTTGATGGAAGAAAGTTGGAGTCTCATATCAGCTTCGGCGTCCAGTCTATTGCGATATTTTGTTTTCGTGGCTGCGTAGGTAGAGAATCCTGTTTCGCACAAATATGTAGTTGGGAACGGGAGAAGAATATCCAGAGCCATTTGGCCAAGCATTGCATATTCATCTTGGATTCTGCACCAAAAATCATTAAGAGGCGTCGTTTTGAACAATGACTCCATACTTGTGTCTGATGACATTTCTAAAAGAGATTCATATATCTCATTTGACATGTTTTCAGGCTTTTCCAAGTTGGGTAAAAAAGGATTATGAATCCAGGAGTTCACTTTAATTTTTGTATTGTGTTCTTCGGGAAAATACTTTTCAAAAGATGCGCGCATCGAACTGAGATATTGGACCAATTCTTCAAACACATTATCTTCAAACATTTCTGAGTCGTTTTCGCTAACAAACTCAGTGAGTAACGTAAAACTTTCTATTTCTTTCTTACCAATGCAAATGATCCAAAAATCTAATTTTCTTTTAAAAGTAGTTATTTTATTATAGGCCTGAAACACTGTTGTCTGTTTACCTTGCAATGATAAATTTAATTCGTTAAGTTTTTGAAAGATATCCGCCATAAAAGACAATCGGAACAACCAAGTTTTATCATACAAACGGTCCTTCAAATTAAAAGAAGTATCTGCTGAAAGAAACATTTGTAACTCGGCTCTAAGTTCAAATAGCCTTGTTAAAGTTTTTCCCCGAGACAGCCATCGCACTTCTGTATGGAGCAGCAGTGTTTTATGTTTGCTGCCATAATCTTCACACAATAATGAGAACAATCGGGATTGTAGTGGTCGTGATTTGATAAAATTAATTATTTTTACCGCTTCATCCATAACTAATTTTAGATTAGACGGCATTTGCTTCATCGCAAGTGCTTGTCTATGCAGAATACAATGACTGGAACTACAATTAGGCGCTTTATTTTTCATTCGTGACACTGCTCCTGCTGTTTTACCTGTCATCGCCTTGGCCCCATCTGTACAAATGTCAATGCAATTGTTCCAACTGAGATTATGTTCTTCAAAAAATATATTTATTTTATTAAAAATTTCTTCCCCGGTAGTGTTTGTAAGCAGCGATGAACACATAAGCATGTCTTCTTCAAAAGAACTTTTATATGGATATCTCACAATAACCAGCAGGATAGCCAAACCAGCGACATCAGTCGACTCGTCCATTTGCAAAGCGAATCGTGTATTTTGTAGACGTGTAACTAGTTCTTGTTTGACGTAGCTTGCCAGATCATGGATTCGTCGTGAAACAGTATCGTTTGATAGCGGAACAGTAGAAAGATGCTTTGCAGATTTTTCATCAAGCATACATTTTGTTATGTCTAATACACATGGTTTTATTAATTTCTCAGCGATAGTGTGCGCTTCACCTGCTTGTGCAATGCGATAGCTAACTAAGTATGATGCCTCCGTGGCCTTTTCGTTGGTAGTTTGTGTTACATGCATCATATTTTTTTGACTTTCTAATAACTGATCTTTTTTGCGAACAAAAAATTCTTTATTCTTGTCTTTAGTCTCGGGGTGTACGGTTTCTAAATGTCGACGCAATTTGGCAGGTGCCATGGAACTATTAGGAAGCAGTTTACTACAGAGCATGCAGAGAGGTGAGCCGTTGGAATCAACAAATCCGAAACTGATATAAGATTCATCATACTTCCTTTTTTTCGTCTTTGAAACCGTCGAGCTTGACGTCGTGGCACTCGTGGCATCATCTTCTGGATCGGTGATTGCTAAATTCTCCGCGCGCATTGCTTTTGAACATTCAGCGTCATTAGAAGATGTTGTTGGAACACGTTTAACACCTTTAAGCCAACGTTCCATTCTTCTTTATTTATAATGTTACAAGTCAGGATAGTGGGGTTTAAATAATGCACAATCGTTACTGCGTATAAGAGACTAAATTTAGAACCTACAGGGAAGAAATGTATAAAACTGAGACAACAGAATACAGCAGGCAGTAAAACAATGAACACCAGTTTCTCGCTAGCGAGCTTGTAAGTAGGTAGTAACTTATCGCTCCGAACGCTAATCATCAACTGACGACGCCAACGCGCGATCGCCGCTTTTATACTTAGTCCTAGACTCGATCTCAAATATTCTCGAAAATACTCGAGTCGGCACCTTTGATAAACAAAAAGCAAAAATAAAAACAGAAATTTAAAAATAGCGTTGTAAACAATATCGACTTTATCCTTTGAAGTTAGAGACGAAAGTCGCTAGTTGACAACTATAGCGTCTAATTCAGAGGCGGCTTTTATCAAAGAGACTGAGCGCTTACAAGTATACCTACCCGCTCGTTTTAAGTTTGCCGCTGGCGATAGGTATGAGTGTATGACGTTCGAAATTTTTTATTTAATTGTAACAATAAAAATTGTGTACGTTAGATATTTGGGTAAAACTATGACACATTATAAGTTTTGTTGTCACGTGGGGGAGGGTACGCGCATTCCACAGACCGGCAAACTTAGAGCGAACGCGTTGTACAAGTATAAAATTGTTGAGACCAAACTTATGAGATATTGTACCAGCTAATGTAACACAAGCTTATACAAATACAAATAAATAAATAAATAACATTCATAGCGTTTTGTCTCCGCGCGGCCGCGGAGTCCGCACAGCCGCGGAGCGACCAGAGAGAGGTGTTTTGATTTTTTTATTTCTAAATTCTTGCGGAACCCCGACAGAGGTATCACGGAACCCTAGGGTTCCGCGGAACACACTTAGAGTATAGCTGGTGTAGCTTTTCGATATTCACAAGCGCTTGTAACAGCCTGGATTGAATAAACGATCATCATCATCATCATCAGCCTATTAATGTCCCCACTGCTGGGGCACAGGCCTTCCCTATGGATGGAATAGGGAGATTTGGGGCCATGACCCACCACGCGGGCCCAGTGCGGATTGGTGGGTGCTAACGACTGCAGATGCAGCCGGGACCAACGGCTTAACGTGCCTTCCGAAGCACGGAGGAGCTCGAGATAGTAATTTTTGGTCACCCATCCAATGACCGACCACTGCGAAAGTTGCTAAAGTTCAACGATCGCAGCCGAACGCGCTAACCACTTGCGCCATCGAGCTCCTCATATGAATAAACGATATTGGAATTGAATTTGAGTGCAATGAATTTTGTCTACTTGTTTATAAGGGCGTCGATTGGCGTATATAAGGGCGTTTCAGTAGTGTTGCGAACTATCGATATTAAAACTATCGACAGTTTACATCGAAAATCATGTACCCTATCGATAGGCCTATCGATAGAATCGATACTACCGATAGTATCGATATTATCGATAGCTCAGAACAAGGCAATACTATCGAATGAGTGCAATACTATCGATACTATTGTAGTTCGTTAATAACAAACTATTGATAGTATCGATACTATCGATAGTGTTGATTTTATCTGCAACAATACTATCGACAGTAGCGATTGTTCTAGACTAAAGTTTGTGATTGACTATAATACCTGAAAATTGTAAACAATACTATTGCAAATTGTTAAACTATCGATAGTATGGTTGCAAATAAAATCGACAGTATTGATACTATCGATAGTTTGTTATTAACGAACTACAATACTATCGATAGTATTTAACTCATCCGATAGTATTGGCTTTTTCTGTGCTATCGATAGTATCGATACTATCGATAAGCCGATCGATTGTCATACGATTGGTTGGATATCGATAGACTATCGATTAATCATCGATAGTCGACTATCGATCGGCAACACTAGGCGTTTGACTCCGTGCAGTGGCAGTTTACTTTCATCTAGGGACACGATATCGAATAGAAAGTATCGATACTGTACTCATGAGTAGTATCGGTAAAAAAGTATCGTACTCGTAAAAGTATCGAAACAAAAGTATCGATACTTCAAAGTATCGAGTACATTTCATAGGGCCTTATCGGAGCCTCTGTGGCCTGAAGAGCAACGCCCCTCCCCCCCAGTGTTAAAATTGAAAGAAAAACAATCGAAATTTATTATAGTACGTATAATCAAAAACAAAAAAGGACATGTAAATTCACAAATTGCTATATTATATGATGAAAAGAAAACAGCTGTGATTTCTGACACTAAAAAAGTGTTCATTAATTCATAATTAAAATCTTAATTAAAAAGATCGATATCTTAAACAATTTAAAAGTATGAAACTTTTTAGATTTGTTTCAAATTAAACTTACTTTTCTTGAATTTTAATCATTAAAAAACATTATACCCACTTATGTTAACTTGAATCTGACACGCAGTTACCGGCTGCCATTGGCATGCTTCACTCAAGATTATAATTATAGAAGAGGTTACTTCCTTTTTTTTTAGGTGGTTTCAAATAGGTATACACTGCACAGACAGAATAATAGTGTTACACTTGAATAAATCAAATACAGTCAAGCGAAAAGCACAATAAACGGCGAATCACAGTTCCTAACAATATGGTCGCTAAATAAATAACTATGAAACAAAACAAAGCGCAAAATTAACACAGTCACAGATTGGAAAGAATTTGAATATGTCAGTTACTGACTTTATAACAACGCAATAGGGCATTTGACAGTATTAAAAATAAAGTGCCAAAATAACGAAAAAGTTAGTTAGTTTTCTTTTCTATTGTCACGTGACCCAAAACGCTTGGGATTGGCGGAGCCTAAAATGACGTCACACGCAAGTAAACTTCCGGTCAAAGTGACATTACATTGTATCGTTTGACGTTTTAATAACAGTTGTGTGACGTCACACACTCGTAAGACGCCATATTGTCCAGAGAAACGTTTTCGTGGCAACTTGAAAATGGAGTTTTTAATTTGGTTATTTTTACTGAAATACACAACAGAATGATGAATATCCACTTTTTATGGACTCCATAAACATTAGTCAATAATGTGAGATCGTTGCCTAAAACTTGTCAAATACCCTATGGAACGTTTTAGAAGGTTTGCTATGATTTAACAAGATGGCGTTGCCATCAATATGAGGCGCTTATCCAAATTTTTTAAGGTATCGATACTTGCCAAAAAGTACTCATTTAGTAAAAGTATCAAATACAAAGTATCCAGTACAAAAGTATCGGTATCGAAAGGAAAAGTACTCGATACCACAAAGTATCAATACTTTTTTCGTGTCCCTACTTTCATCAATGCAATGACAGTTGAGTGATTTTGGAGTGATAACAACCAGATACTAATAAGAAAATATTGTTACATATTTTATATAACATACAATAAATTGTAAAAATACGAGCAATTTTAATAATTGCTGTTCCACATTGATAAATATAATGATGAAAAAAATACTAAGATACACACAGATCTGCAAGTCTTGGCTTGGGACACTAATTAAAAATTAAAGATCCTTTCAAAAACTGCCATAAATTAATCCAATTAGAACAAAAAAAAAATAGCAGAAACCTACTTTAGTAAAAATCCATAAAACCACAATACATAAATCATACAAAACATAATTTTCAGGCATTTGTTATTAGATCTTTAACTACTTGTGTTCTTTATAAAATCATTGAAGGTATTGTTTTATCTTTATAATACAGAATATGTATATGCAATATTGTTATATTGAGTGCACATGCAACATGTTTGAATGTCCAATTGTGACAGTGAATAATGATTATGCACCACAAATTAAGCAGTACATTTTTGAGTAGAGCGTGTATCTTTCCTTTTTGTTTTAATCTCAGTGCTAATATTATAAATGTGACAGTTTGTATTCATGTTTGTTATTCTTTCACAAAAAACTAATGAAAGTATTTGAATGAAATGTGGTAGGGGAGAAGGAGGCACCTTAGCACAAGGGCAGATTTGAACATGTTCATTTCTGAATTTAACTTTATGTTAATTTATGCCGTAACTACATTTTAATATTGGCAGCACTGGCTGTGACAAATGTCAAATAACAAAGCACCTGCGTTTCGTTTTCAAAAAGATTTATAACCTGTCGTTGTATTTGTACCGATGAAGTAAAAAATAAAAATAAATGTTGTAAGGGATTTACTATCTCGGTTTCCGACTAATTCTTTCACAAAATTGTGCATTTTTTATTAGTTTTCAACCCACCTTGTTGTTTTTGCTAGTCAGTTATTTCACATATTTTTTTGTAATATTTTATTTTCCAAGTGACTATGGGGCAGATTTGAACAAAGCAAACGGGGCAGATTTGAATAGGACGTTCAAATACAAACTTCATTATGTTTTCTTACAAGTTTATTTTATGTTTAATTTTGTGTCTGAGGCAATATTATATAAAAACTCTTGTGCAATATGATTACTTTTGTTAACAAGGAAGAAATCCAACACAATGAAAATACTATTTTTATTTTTGTTACTGTAATGCAAGATGTAACTTTAGAAGTTAATCATATAAGTTTATTTTACATTTTATTACAATAAATATCATAATAATAAAGCAAATTATTACTCTATCCTCTCTTTTTTCTGGTTTTTAACCCGGTGTTCAAAACTGCCCCATGTCGATTCAACTGTGCCCCCTGGGGAGGCAGATTTGAACAAATTTGTTTTAAAAAAGAACACATTATTTCTCTTTAATGTTTTCAGCAAATTCAAACATTTCATCATTTTTATATTAAAGAAGGAGTAAGTAAGCTAAGAAAGCTATGTTTTTTCAATTTCTCTAACTGTAAAGTTGATTTTTTATGAGTCCAAATACGAAAAATGTGCTAATGTGCCTCCCTCTCCCCTATGTATATAGTTTATGACCTGAATTGAGTATAGGATCTTTTTTATCCCAGAAAATGACAGGTTTCTGTGGAATTCTCAAAAGCCTAAAGTTAACACGGACAAAGTCTTGAGCATTTCGTAATGTATATAATACTCTATTTGAAATTGTGGTACTTATGGTAATTTTAAAGAAGTAATAGTCTTGATTGCTACTTACATTTTCTTGGAAAATTGTAACAAATCCGCCTTTCTCTTGATTGAAGGAACCCACAGCTAAAAGTGGTAAAGATGGGTGCCATGCACCGACGGTACACACCATGTTAGCATCGCTGAAGCTTAGCTTAGTATCGATGTACAAAGTCATGTTTATAAGATAATTATTACTGATATACCTATGATAACTGACAAAAACCTTTCCTAAATATTTTATACAAGCATTACTTTATAGAAACAAAAGTATAGCCTATGCTATAATCACAATATTATTATTAATGAATCTTGTTGTGATCAGGTTATAAAATTTACAATACAAATAATATGCGTAAAGGCACAGCTTTGCCTTCGCCAGTTCGCCGTTCGTTGCCATAGAAACAAATTGGAACTTTTTTTTATTTCTATCCATATTCTGAAGGAAAAGACAATAGCTATCTATACAGCCTTTTGAATCTGCGCGATTCGCTCGCTCACTTAGTAGCGGCACGCTTTGATGGCCATTTTGACGTTAGTGCGTTCAATAAGTTTCATATTCTAAATTAGTTCTACATTTGAAATAAATAATTATTGTTCTTCATTGTCACTGCATTTAGTCATAAAATTTATCGAATTGGTAATTTTCTAGCAATGAATACCTTTGCAGGTATTAAACATTTCAAAGAATAAATAGCAATTATAGTTGTTTTTATTTTTTTAGGCATTTAACTGCTAGATGTTTAAATGTAAAGAAAAGTTTACTAGAAAAAAATATGGGTACTTAAGTACGCGCGTGAGAAGTTATACTTCTTTTTGGAATTATTAAAAAATAGTTTTTAATTGCATGCAGATAATTAATTACAATAAGATAATAAAAGGATTGCAAAAGGATAGTCAACGCAGTCAATAAAGTTCAGTTTTAATTTGAAAAATTTAATAAATAATCAAAATATTCAATTTAAATCACTACTGAATAAAATTTATTAGCACATATAAATTTCTCATTTGTATAACATTATAACACGTGTTAAGAATATAGAAACTAGAAACATGTGGATAAATATTATAAATATGAAAACAGTGATCAGAGGCGACGAGCGTCCCAACATGTGCGACTAAGAGATCCTATTACTATTTTGTTGGAAGCCTTTTTTCGAGACTTACGAGTAATGTGCGGTTTAGCGGCCGACTTCATAGTGTTGCGCGCGCATCTTAAAATTTCACTCTCATCATTTTTTCATAACGGGCCCGCGGCTAACTTCATTATGTTACTTTTGTGTTACAGTGATGCGCGCGCATCTTAAAATTTCACTCTCATAATTTTTTCATAACGCGGCTAAAGAATCCACGCAGTCCAGGCAGCAGACGGGACTCGAACCCGCACACTTCGCTACCCGGGCGAATGCACTGACCATTATGCTACCGCGGTCCTGACGACCGTGTCAAATTTTGTCTAGCCTTATGCTGCAAGGCAGCCCCATCTCATAGATATGTTAAATTCCGATGGTAAACGCTATGTTAGACGTCCTGAAAACCATGCTTTTAATTATAAATACACAAAGAGGATAGTCAAGCACGGTGGCGGTAACATTAAAGTATGGGGGTGTTTTTCCGGTTGTGGAGTTGGACCCGTTGAAGGTATAATGGATCAACGGCAATTCAAAAATTTCTTAGAGCACACAATGATTCCCTACTCGGACGACAATTATTTGCCTGTAACCTGGTTCTTTCAGCATGACAATGACTAAGCACGTGGCCAATATTGTCAAATGTTTCCTTAGCGAACAGCGTATATCCGTTTTAGACTGACCAGCATAGTCTGGATTTAAAAAATATAGAAAATCTCTGGTATATTGTTAAAAAGAGAGTCTCAAACAAACGTAACACCAGTGAAAACGAACTATATGAAGCATTTGTTAAAGCATGGAATTCAATGCCCCTACAAAATGTATGAATCAATGTCACGTCCTTGCTGTGCTGTCATTGAAAATAAGGAATACGCCACTAAATATTAATTATAACTATTGGTAGGCTGTGGATAGTAGCTATTTCGTAAATAACCATACTAATTACTAAAACTTAAAAAAAAAATGTTTTTTATACTTTTTTATTGTTGTTTCTAATTATGTGACCATTATTGTTCATACCTTAAAACTGATTTAAATGTTTATCCGTAATGTAATATGATGTAATATTGAAAGTGCACTTGTGTAATGGGATTTATTTTGTTTTTCTAATAAATAATAAATCGTTGAACATATTGTTGCCCTATTTACTGATAAATTTCAAAATAAAAACAGTTCCGGTGAAGTATCTTACATAATGACAAGGACCGTTAGTGTTTCTTATTATACGACCACCACTGTAAATGTAAATACCTATTTATAAATAATTTTACTAAAATGTCGATAAATCAGGAATCTCTGCACTAAATATAATTTTGAATAAATAACTAAATTATTAATAAACTAAAATAAATTAAATCCAGTAGTCTAGAATTCTGTTTAGTAAGGAACAAGGTTATTTCAATAGTCAGGTTACATTACATATTTTAGAATAAATCAAATGTTTGTATTGTTTGTACCCGTGCGGTGATGGAGAAAGAATACAACTCACCGCCCATTCTCTTCCCGTGGATGTCGTAAGAAGCGACTAAGGGATATCGGAGCTTCCATCCGCTCTTCTGGTGGTAGGGTGCCTAACACCCTCCTGGTTTGTTACCATTGTGCGCATGGTGAAAACCCCGTGAAGTGCTTCTCGCGCGTTTCGAGGTCAGCCAGCGTACAACCAGAGCTCGAGTGGAAGTTGTCGCGAAGGATTCGGTTCAGGGGAGGCATCCGTCGAACCGATGCCGGGAGGACTGCATCGACCCGTCGGCCAGGGAGACCCGTAGAAACGGTTGTCCCGCTGGCCGCCCGTGGCACAGTACAGGGGCCCAAGCGTTCTTAACCAGTTTGCGAGGCTGCGCCATCATGTCACGCTTAATCTCGGGGTGGACTATCGTGCCAGTTGGTGATCGAGGCGTGGGGTCCCGGCGGCCACTCCCGGGGGGGTGCGGGGACCCTTCCGTCCGGCGTATCGGCGCATCTCCTCTGCAGGCAGTCAATCGGGAAAACTAACCTCCTGTATTTGCCCGGACTCTTCGCGACAGCGTCCGCTCGTTTTCGCGACTCTTTTTTCATTTCCACCATGGCAGCCTCTATAGCAAAGTTTGGACGTACAGCGGTGCACACCCCCACACCTTCAACACTGTTTGAGGTTGAGTTCTGCAACATATGCGGACTCCACTCTAACCTCACCGCTGTCCACCACCATCTTGAGACAGTACGGCCAGCATTGTTGTTCCTGACGGAGACACAAATACTTCCACCTGCTGACACAGGCTACCTTAACTATCCCGGCTACGTGCTTGAAGAGTCCTTCAAAGCGAAAGCCGGTGTATGCCTGTATGTTCGGGCGGACGTTTGTTGTCGCTGTCTCCGCTGCTTGGAAGATCCCACCTCCATGTTGGGGGTACACGTCCCTTTCTTCAGGGCACAACACTGGCGCTACAGAGCAACATTACCATGCTCGGTATGGAAGTTCGCTCAGACCTGAATCCAAAGGACTACATCGAAACCGTGATCAAAACAGATTCACGCAAAGTCAGTGTTCTGAACAAGGTGCGGCGTTTTTTCACGCCCGATCAACTGTGCTTGTTGTACAAAACACAAGTGCGGTCCTGCGTGGAATACTGCTCGCACCTCTGGGATGGCTCCGCCAAGTACTTGCCCCATGCTTTGGATGGGTTACAGCGGCGCGCGATCATAGGCGATGAGGAGGTGACTAAACACCTTGAGCCTCTTCAATTACGCCGTGACGTGGCATCACTAAGCGCGTTCTATCGCCTGTACCACGGCGAGTGTTCTGAGGAGTTATTCTCTCTTATCCCACCTTCCCCTTTCCTTCAGAGGATCACACGCGCTGGCCAACGTTGTCACCGTCTAACTGTGGCCACAATTCCAACGCGTCAAAGAAATTTGGTGACTCATTTCTTTGTCGCATTATCCGTAAATGGAATGCTCTGCCCGCTCACGTGTTCCCTCCCTCTTACAACCTGGGATGCTTTAAAAGAGGCGTGAAGAAGCAACATGCAGGCCGGCAGGGTGAGGATGGCTGGTGTGGCAGGTAGAACTGCTGTATCAGCTATCTTCGCGTCTGGATTTCACCTTCACTTAACATCAGGTGGGGTAGAGTCATTTGTTGGACCTATCTATAAAAAAAAAAACAATAATTGGTCACGATTGTTAAGGCGCAAGTGGTTAGCTCGTACGGCTGCGATCGTTGAATTTAAGCAACCTTTGCAGTGGGCGATCTTTGGATGGGTAACCAAAAATTTAGTATCTCGAGCTCCTCCGTGCTTCGGTAGGCACGTTAAGCAGTTGGTCCCGGCTGCATCTGCAGTTGTCAGCACCCACCAATCTGCACTGGACCCGCGTGGGGGGTCATGGCCCAATCTCCCCTTTCCATCCATAGGGAAGGCCTGTGCCTCAGCAGTGGGGGCACAGGCCTTCCCTATGGATGGAAAGGGGACATATTAATAGGTTGATGATGATGATTTATCGAATTTTTAGATTTAAGTGGAGCTGATTATGAGATTCGATATTATTATTAATGTTTCAGATTTTGGGACTATGCAGTCCTAATGGCACTGTAGTCAGGGCAACTTAAAAGACCGATTTTGTATCTCGCCGACACGGTAAAATACTTATCTGCTTTAGCCAGACTGCTTTCAAGGGGCTCCAAGTTTCTGGAAATTTAATTTCCTCTAGTCGTATTATATGTTGGCCTAAATGAATAGTAATTAGGTACCACTTGTATGGATTTCAATTAAATACGCTACTCCTTATAAAAGAAACTGTGTTTTAAAAACTCTAAGAAGTATAAATAATATAAGTTATGGCGAAAACAATTATTTGATTTGTCTAAAAAACCTAAAATTCCTTTAATACAGAATCTTATTTATATAAGGTTTTATAATTAATTTTTTTCTCTAAATTTGACATATGAAAGCTATTATGAAAAAAGTTTGTTTTTTTTTATAGCGAGGAAGGCAAATGACCCTACCCCACCTGATGTTAAGTGGTAAAGGACTTCGACGAAATCGGCCCTAGCATGCCCAAAAGAATGTCCTTCACTATTATTTTTCTATTATTTTTTTAACTTATTAGCAATTATAGCTATTAACGGGATTGTTACCATGTACCTTGTTTTTTATGAGTCTCCGATATTTCGGCACTGTTGCAAGCGCCATGATCACGGAATAACTGAAGTAATTGCGGGTAGATGTTATTGGCAGACATATCGGTCTACCCTCTGACGTCGTCTTTTACTGCGCTCGATACCCCTACCATTGGTCACGTTCTCACCATTCACTCGCACCTGTTCCCGACACACAATACTCACAGTATCCGATCGCGGAACGACACTTTTTTGATTTTTACGGTTTTTGCACATACGAACCACTGGATTCCAGACACTTGACAATTTAAACCCATCCTCACGATTGAAATTTTTGTGTTTGGTTATTTCAATCGCTTCCCTGACCAATCTTGGTATGTAGTGGCGTTCTGTCGAGATGAAAAAAAGACAAAAGTCTCATGTCCCCTACTACGAGAAC